TCCATCTCCTGGTGTCTTCCTCAATATCTTTAATGATTTAAACTTTTCATTGTAGAGACCTTTGGTCAGATTTATTTCAAGACTTTTTTTTTTTGCAGCAATTGTGAATGGGAGCATTCCCCTGTATTCTTTCTCCAGTTGCTTGTTATTGTTATATAGAAAGGCAACTGATTTTTGTAGACTGATTTTATAACCTGCCACTATACTGAAAGTGTTGATCAGTTCTAGGACATTTCTGGTGGAACATTTGGGCTCTCTTGGTATAGTATCATATCATTTGCAAAAAGTGATAATTTGATTTCTTCTTTTCCAATTAGTACTCCTTTAATTTCCTTCTGTTTTATTGCTCTAGTGAGATGTTCAAGCACTAGGTTGATAAGGAGGGAGATAGTGGACATCTTTGTCTGGTTCCTGATTTTAATGGGAATGCTTCCAGTTTTTCTATTATTAAGAATCAATTTTGTAGAATGAGGCTGAATGGTTTGTTGTATATAGCTTTAATTATGTTGAGGTATGTTCCCTCCATTCCAATTCGCTCTAGGTCTTTGAACATAAATGCATGCTGAATTTTGTCAAAAGCCCTTTCTGTATCTATTGAGATAACAATGTGGTTTTTGTCTTTGAGTCCATTTATATGATTAATGACGTTTATTGGCTTGCATGTATTGAACCATCCCTGCATCTCTGGAATAAAGCCTTCTTGATCATGGTGTATGCTCTTTTTGATGTGTGTCTGTATGCTGTTTGCAAGTATTTTGTTGAGAATTTATGCATCTATGTTCATTAAGGATATGGGTCTATAGTTTTCTTTTTTGGTTGCGTCTTTATCCAGTTCGGATATTAGATTAATGCTGGCTTCATAGAATGAATTTGGGAGTTCTCCCTCTGTTTCTATTGGTTTGAATAATTTAAGTAGTATTAGTTGGAGGTCTGCTTTAAATGTCTGATAGAATTCTGCTGTAAATCCATCTGGGCCTGGGCTTTTTTTAGTTGGGAGGCTTTGTATTACTGTTTCAATTTCCTTATATGTTATGGGTCTGTTTAAACTGTTGATCTCTTCTTGGTTTAACTTTGGTGGTTACCCTGCTTTTAGATAATCCATCCATTTCTTTTAGGTTTTCAAATTTAGTAGTGCATAGGTTTTTAAAATATTCCCTTATAAAGGTCTGGATCTTTTGGGTGTCTGTTGTGATGGTTCCCCTTTCATCTCTGATATTGTTGATTTGGATTGCCTCTTTCTTTGGGTTAACTGGCTAAGTGTCTATCTTGTTTAGCTTTTCAAAGAACAAGCTCTTAGATTCATTGATTCTTTATATTGTTTTCTTTGTTTCTATTTCATTAATTTCTGCTCTGATTTTTGTTGTTTCTTCTCTTCTGCTGGGTTTAGGTTTCATTTGTTCTTGCCTTCCCATGTCTTGAGTTGCAGTGTTATGTCATTTACTTGGGCTTTTTCTAATTTTTTAATGTAGGCACTTAGAGCTATAAACTTCCCTGTTAGGATTGCATTTAATATTTTGGTTGTTAGCCTTAGCCTTTAATGGCTGCACTATCCCTCCAGCCCTGGACTGCTTTTAAAGTGTCCCAGAGGTTGTGTCCTGTTGTATTGTCCTTTTCATTGAATTCCAGTAATTCTTTTATTTCTTTCTTAATTTCTCTTTTGACCCCCTCATTGTTTAGGATTGTGTTGTTTAATTGCCACAAGTTCATGTAGTGACTAGGGCTTTGTCCAGTGTTGATTTTGAGCTTTATTGCATTGTGGTCCAATAGAATACATGGAATTATTTCAATATTTTTGTATTTGTTGAGGTTTGTTTTGTGGCCCAGTATGTGGTCAATTTTTGAAAAAGGTCTACGGGGTGCTGAGTAGAAAGTCTATTCTTTGGTGCTTGGGTGGAATATTCGAAAGATGTCTGTTAGGTCCATTTGATGTGTATCATTTAATTCAGATGTCTCTCTGTTTATTTCTTTGTCCAGTTGACTTGTCTAATGGAGACAGTGGGGTATTGAATACCCCTACTATTATTAAGTTGGGGTTAATCTGTGTCTTAAAGTCCTGTAGTGTTGTTTTTATGAATTTGGGTGCACCAGAGTTTGGTGCATATATGTTAAGTATTGTAATGTCTTCTTGGTTGATTGTTCCTTTGATCAGAATGAAGTGACCCTCCTTATCTCTTCTGTTTAGTTGTACTTTGAAGTCTATTTTGTCAGATATTAGAATTGCAACGTCTGCTTGTTTCTTAGTGCCATTTGCTTTGAATGTTCTTTTCCATCCTTTTACCTTAAGGTAGTGCCTGTCCTTGAAGGTGAGATGAGTTTCTTGCAGACAGCAGAGATGGATTTTGTTTCTTAATCCATTCACTTAGCCTGTGTCTTTTGACTGGGGAGTTCAGTCCATTGATCTTTAAAGTTATTATTGAAAAATGTGTATTGGTTGCCATTATTTTGACTGCTGTTTGTGTTCTCTGTCAAATTTTGTTTCCTCAATTATGCGTTTATTTATTTTCTTTCATTGCCCTAGGGTATAATTATTTTTCTCTCTGCTCTCTGTATTGCTTCAAGTATTCTTTGAAGGGCTTGTTTTGTGGACATATATTCCTTAAGGCCATTTGTGTCATGGAAGATTCTTCTTTCCCCCTCAACTATAATAGACATTTTTGCTGGGTAAAGTATTCTGGGCTGGCATCTATTGTCAAGTAGAACTGAAAGTACCTTGGTCCAGGCTCTTCTGGCTTTCATAGTTTGCACTGCAAAGTCAGCTGTAATCCTGATAGGTTTTCCTTTATATGTGACTTGTTTTTCTTTTGCAGCTTTCAATATTGTCTCTTTGTTCTGAACGTTTAGTGTTTTTACTGTGATGTGCCGTGGAGAGAGTTTATTTTCTGATCCTATTTGGTGTTCTATGTGGTTCCTGTATTTGTGTGGGGATGTCTTTCCTTAATTTCGGGACATTCTCTTCTACAATCCTGTTTAAGATTTGGTCAATACCATTAACCTGATATTCTTCTCCCTCTTCTATTCCTATGATATGTAGATTTGGCCTTTTCATGGTGTCCCACATCTCTTGCATATTCTGTTGCTGTGTTTTTTAAAAAAATTTTTATAATCTTTGCTTGAGTGGTCCAGTTATTCAACTTTATCCTCCAGTGTTGATATTCTGTTTTCCATTTCATTCATTCTAGCAGTGAGGCTTTCCCCTGTTGTTTCAAGTTGGCTTATTGAGTTTTGCACTTCCTCTTCATTTCTGCCTGAGTTTTCTTCAATGTTTCTATCTCTTTTGTGAATTCATTCAGAAGTTTATCCCTATCTTCTAATTCTTTGATTTGTTTGTCTGTGTGTTCTTTAAATTCATTGAATTCCTTGATTATGTTTATGATTGTTCTTTTAAATTCAATGTCCTGGGTGATCTCTAGGGGTTCTCCTTGTAGAACTCTTCTACAGGACTGGGGGACTTTCACAGGGACATAGTGTTTTGGCTTTCCATTTTATTATTCTTTTGGTTTGATTTTGGCATGTGAATTTCTTTTGTTGTCTATGATTCTAATATGAGAATTAAGTTGAAGTATGCTTCTGTTTATATTATCAGGTGCCTAGGTCTTTTCCTCGTTGGTTATGTAAAGCTGGTTGGTACAGGTTTCAGATTCTCTCAAGTTTTATTTTGCAGGAAACTGATGGCTTCAGATCAGCTATTCAGGAGCACCCACAGAAGCCGAAGTCAGGTTCCAGTCAGGCACTCTCTGGCTTCCTTCTAACGTTTGGACCCCACCATGTGGAGGCAGGATCCAGGCGCTGTCAGGCAGTCCCCTGTGTTCTCAGCCCCTATGCCAGAGGGAGGCCAGAACCTGGCATACCCTGGCAGTGTGCTGAGCTCACCTCCCTTGGACTCTTGCATGCCATTGTGGTCTCTTCTGGTCCTGGGGTCAGGGTTCTGCATAAGTGAGGAGCAGCATTTTCCTTGCCATTCTCATCACTCCCTACTCACTTCCAATAGCTCACTTCTGCCAGGCGGAGCTGTTAGGGTTTGCAGATAGGCTCAGTTTTTGGCTCTCTCACCTGTTCTCCTTCAGTGATCACCCCTGCTTTGTATTTTGCAGGATAAAAACTCACCGTGTATTATCCTGACTTTTTTTCCCTAAACAGAAGTCCCAAAGTCAGAAATTGTTAAGAGGAAATTCCCTATTCTTAAAACAGAATCACGAGAATCCAATATACTGTGCTTAACAGATGAACTTGGCAATGGCGAGACTAGGCCCCAGAATGCAACATAGGACATGAACCTATGCAGTCAGGACCCCAGACTGCAGCAGCAGAGAGGCCCTGGCCATGCCACTTCATGGTTTTGCCACTGCTGTAGTACCCATCACTGCTAAGGATTGGGGTGGACCAGAAGACAGTTCTCTAGCCACTTAAAAACTCTGAAGTGCTCCTCTTTAAATCTCTTGTGTTACTTTGAAGCTTCCCTTGCACCGCAGAGGTGGGATGCTTTGAAGGGTCTGATTGGCACTATATATACAGAGAAGTTACTGTCCCTGAGAGGAGTGGCTCCAATAGGATCCGGAAGATGAGGATGCAGTCCTCTTCTCTCTTGCCTCAGGCAGACAGTTTAAAGATAGAATCAGCTTGTCCCTAAGGCATGCCCTTCAGCCACAGCTGCTCAGTTCTTTCTGTTCTCTTTGTATTCCCTTCCTGGCCTTGAAGCAGTTTTACTCTTACTTCTTTAAGATTTAGCTCCTTTCAAGCATCTAGAGAGAGGAATTTTATTTCAGTTTTGCTTTCTAAGAAACTTAGGCTGTGAATATTACCACTACTTGAAAAGACACTATACAAAATGTGTGTGTGTGTGTGTGTGTGTGTTTATTTAGCATTGTGATATCGCTGTCACTACTTGAACAAACATAGACTGAAGTTACTAATTAAAAGTCATGCTAATTTTAACCACAAAAATCTTTGTAGTTTATACAGTTCAGCTAACAAGGGAGTTGTCATTTTCTCTAAGCCCTAGAAACATACTTTGTGAAGGTAGCCGGAATACCACATAACAGCAACAAGACAGAAAAATACAAACTTCCAGGACGTAAGAAAAGTCAACAACAAAGCAAATATGTTAGTTGATAATCATCATGTGCTAGGATGAAAACAAGCTTGCATTACAGTGTTTTTCTTTCTTTCTTGTTTTCTAATAAGGTATTCAGTTAGAATAATAAATAGAAAAATAAAGACGTATAAAGAAGTATATATATATATTTTTCAAGCAAAAAGCATATTTTCAATTGATGGTTACCATATTGTAAACACATAAAGATAATTTGTGTTCTTACACTAACAATGGCAATTTTGCAATTTTATGGAACTATTAGCAATTAGCAAAGAGAAAAACAGGCATTCTTTATAGCTGGTAATACATTATGATCCTGTAGTAGATTTATTTATTGATCCTAGATATTTATTATTAGTCATTTCCCATAGGTCTATTCTTGCATTAAATAATTTACTAGAAATTTCTTTCAATAGAATCTCCATTTTCTGTTATGTGGACACATCTTTTTATTTTCATAGTATATATATATATATATTTGTACATGTCTGTATCTTACCTTAGATGACCAACTTTAAGGAGAGAAGATTTATTTTGGATGATGGTTTCAGAGCTGCAATCTGTTGTGCCTATAACAACATGGTGCCTCATGGTGGGGTCTGTGTGCTGTGGGGCTGCTCACCTCATAGCAGCTGTGAAGGCAGAGAAAGTGCCGGGTTCCTAATGTTCCCTTCAAGGGCTTGTCCCAAATGATCTAACTCCTTTTCATTGCGCCCCACTTCCCAAAGGTGGCACTACTGCTCAATAGTATCAGCTCAGGGACCAAGTCATTAACATATGGTCCTGTTGGCAGAGTACACGTAAATGTGTGTGCGTGTGCATGCATGCATGCGTGTGTGTGTTAAATGCCTCCCCATCACACACTGCTACTAAGAGGCACAATACCACCATACACACAATGAACTGGTGCATCTAAACACTGAGCCAAAATAAAGATATGTTACTGCTCTGCAAGTTGTACATAAGTTACCTGTTTTACCAAGGGACATACTGGAATATATATATCTGCAGACCAAAATCTCTCTCTCTCTCTCTCTCTCTCTCTCTCTCTCTCTCTCTCTGTGTGTGTAGTTGCTTGTTTTTAAATAAATTTAACCAAAATCTAAGACACAAATTTCTCAGGACTCCAACCCTTAATCAAACCATTGCATTCAATTTTTTACTTTAACATGTAAATGTGCAATTTATGTATTGCTATATAGCAACATTGTAGGTAGAATTTAATGTTATATATTTTGGTTTAATGCTTTTTAAACTTTTCCTTTCTCTCTCCTACAGACTTCCTTACCTAACATCCAAAAATAGTTTGATTAGAATATTTTTATATTTCAAGTATCAAGGGAGTTTTCGCTTGCATTTATTTGGATACTAGGCTTAATTTTTTTTACTATTTAATAACTACATGATTAGAAGAAGCATTTCACTACAGCTTTAACATATTCAGTTTTCCAGAGCAAAGACACAGCTCCTTCAAAAGTGGCTATAAAATTTCTAGGTTCACTGTTGAATCAATATAGTTATACAATATTGAACTCTGTATAAGCCCTGTAAGACATAAAATTGAAAGAATTTTTAACCCTCAAAAAAGATCTCCATTTCATTCTAAAATATATTGTTTCTTACAGAAAGACTCATTGTTTTGCTACTAACACTGAGATGTTGGCACATGCCAACATGTATGTATGTATGTATTTGATTATTCAATACATATGTATGTATATGATTATTACTAGTCATAATCGGTTGCACTTGGATACTTGGCACCTGTGTATGTCTATAAAGTCATCAGGTAGATTTCACTGGT